GTCCAAATATCTAGAAAAGGTTTTATTCTTCATTCAAGGGCGATACAAAAATTATAAATCTTCTTCAACAGCAAGAATTTGAGACAATCTCATGTTCATGCAGATATATCCATAGTTCTGAATGGAATGCACTGAAATTAAATACAAAGATATCAGGAGGAAAATAATTAAAAAGTTAAACAAATGAATCAACATTTCCATACAATGGGTAAAGTAATTGAGACCAAACTCATTTAAGTATTAAGAAGAGATATAATTTCAAACAAGAAATTTTAATATCAGCTGGTTTAATTATTAACAAGATGATACAAAAGTAGTTTTATCATGTTTAAAGGCAATATTACAGTAAAATAAGGTGAAGATAAATTATCTTGATAAGTCCCATTTATAAAGGAAGTATTATTATGCCAAATCAGTAAATCTGGGTTACATGCATCTGGCAAAATGCACATCAGTAAATAACATAACGAAGTAGAACTACCCAGTTAACTTAAGAAGTAGGTACAATGCGTTTGTCTTTACTTGGTTACTTAAAATTACAAGAAAATGGCAGCTGGTATGTCAATTTCTGCAGTTTTCCTGATAACAATTACTAATATGAATGAAACTTTTGTTAAAACAGAGAGCATATCAGATGCAAAGAAAATTGGCAAGCCAAAAACAAGTGACCGAAGATTAAAAAAAAAACACAATGTGTACTTGATCGCAAAAACCAAAATTTCTATAAAAATTACATCAAGGCAGCTGCATAACAGATTAACAAACAGTTATATTTTCATCCATATCATACCCGACTCATCAAAACAGATAAATTCATGGTAGTGGAAAAGCTGACCTGCTCCTGATCTGGTACCAGCAGATTTCTTATTTTAAGGCTACCTTAAGAATGAAATCTACATGCATAATATTTCTAAAATAGAAAATCTGAAGCAAGTGATCAACTAGGAATTCAACAACATTCTAATGAACTGTTCATCATTAGAATTAACTTTTAATGTTAAGAGCTTTTTCTTCATGATACACTCTGGCTGAACTCTCATTTCTAACTATATGTTTCTCTTCTACAAGTAACCTTGGTTTCACAATCGTAGTTGTCAGATTTGCTTCGTCTTTTTCCAAACTTCTAGGCAGTCCTAATAGCATCATTAGGTCCACTCCTCTATCTGTAAATGCATATCCACCATTAGCTAATTTTCTATGCAAGTCCATTAATCTTGCTAGATAGGATTAGACAGACCATTTGGTTCATAGATGTTAAAGAATTCTCAAAGTTGCAGTACGTAAAGCAAACCAAATTTGTGTTTTTTGTTTCTTTTAAAACAGGCGTCTCTGGCTCTAACACAATCTCCGTTATCATCTAGAAATGTATCTTCAGCTATGAAGAATAACAGGGTAAGAGCTTCGTCATTCTTTTTCCTCTCCACTTCATTCATTTCAATTCCATATCTGGGTTCCACTGCTTCCCAATACCTCTTCTGCGCCAGCACGGGGCGCGAACAGATACACCATGTGTGATAATTGTCGCAGTTTAGTTTCAGCATTTTATAATCTTCAGATGTCATTCTTCAAGTACATATATTGAGCTAAATTCACCAGAAAAGAATTATTTATTTTTTCAAAGGATGGTTATCTAGCTCACTTCAGATTCACAATGTGGGTAGGCTTCAGCGATTTGCACGGTTAAGCTTCGGTCCGAATCTTCAACCATGGATCCTTATGGCCTTTCCTTTTGAGCTTCGTGCTGATAACATGTTAGAATTTAAATTATTCGTGGGTTAAATAATGATATAGTCCAGGTTGAACAATCAAATATATTGGGAATATATTGGTTACATGAAAAACAGCAATCGCAGCAATGCACACCAGATAAGGACAACAACACTGCTGTTGCCAATTAACATTAAGTAAATATTGTGATTGGCACACAAATTTTTTTAAACACATCAATGTATACAAACATATTATTTTTGATCTCCAAGTATGCTTTAATTTTAAGGATGATCATCGTGTTGAAAACATGTAAACTTGGTTTTGTTATATATTTTTCAAATCTAAGTTTATATTTTCCAATTGTTTTTTCACAATTCTTTTAGTCATATTGCTTTAAATATGATTATAACTACCTCTATAGTTGCTTTATGTATTCATTCATTAGTAACCATTTCTAGTCTTGGGTTATTGAATAATGCATGTTTATGGTCACCATTTAAAAGATACAGAATGCAGTGATGTTGCATATTTTCAACTGATGATGCTGTAGTGATCTTGAGAGCCAATCAAAGCTCATACTACAAAGCAGTTAGAATATCAGAATCTGTTGCATGGGAGCTCTTTGCAAATAACAGCTATATGATATTCGACTGCCATATAACAGATCTATGATAGAATTCCAAGATCATTATCATCTCAAGGGCTTGTGAAACTTGTATACTGCAGCACTTCTCACTGCTAACAGATGGCAACACAAGCAACTACATACCAAGTGAGCATACCATGTATTGACTACAATGCTAATTTCAGTTGAAGAGAAATTACTCATTTAACAATGATTTCAATTATTCTTTTTAAGATATGGTTTTGGAACACATGCAGATAATAGCAATGAATTAAAAACCTGAATACCTAAGTATATACCAGTTTTAATAATATATATGTAAATCTGAACACTAAGAAACTATCATGCTCTGAGTAATTCCTTTGTGCATCTAATACAGAGATTTATATGGTATTTTCATTTCTCACAGCAGGCTTGAAATTAATTTTCTAAAATAATGTTGAGTACACTTTTCACATTCTGTTTGATATGAATTATATTTAAAAAAATCTGAAAGCTTTCAGATTTTACATTATGTCCAATAGGGCTTTTTTTTTTTTTAATGTTTTGCATGTTACCTTTATTTATTAAATATCATGTTCTTTGTGCTCACCATAAAATTCAATTCAACAACAATATCGCAAACTAATTTTAAAATGAGCATATCTATAGAATTTCCAATGTACAGTCTCGCATGCTGGAGATAGGAATGTTTTTTTCGTACAGTGTTATTATTGCTTGCTTTGAAATCGCTGAGTTTGTTAATCAAAAATTCGTTAAAGTGTTAAAAAAACATGAAATCGATAATAAAACAAATTTCAAATTCCAAATTAGGGCCTCCAGATGCTCATATTTGGTGGAAGATTACATTATTCAAAATTTGATGGCTCTAGGTACTGTGGTTTTATCACAATGTGAGAAACATATATACATTTATGCAGATTCCTCATTATTTAATTTCTTTAAATATATACTGGACGATTATATTTGGTGGCAAGAATTTGAAAAGTGAATCAACATTTATACTGAAGCAATGAAAAATGCCAAAACTAAATTAATAGTCCTTCTGGGCAAACTACCCCTTTGGACTAAAAATATTTTTTCCCTTAGGCACAGCTTTTAATTATAGAAACTGCTAGAAATCACAAGCTAAATAAAATAGATAAGCAGGATATTGTATTTGGATTCTAATTTTTTTTACCATAATTTCTTGCACAATGAGCAAAATGTGACTACATGTGTGAGCAAGATACAAACTTCACAAGACTCTTTGTTATTCCTACTAATTTAGTTAAAATCAGTCAAACTACATCTTAATTAATCAAATTCTTTAAATAATAATCTGACATTCAATCATTTGCTGAACTCTTTTATATCTCATAATCTGTTCATATTTACAGATTATTTTTTATTATTTAAGTCATTTATTTTAATTATCTGCCACATGTTACTTTTAACATCATCTATCAGATCTTTTGGCATACAATCGTATCTTTTAATAAGCTGCATACACTCTGAATTTCCATATATCTTCATCACAGATTACTTTCAACAGTTCTGTTGTTTTATTTAGAGTTTTTTCGATTTTTAGACAAAATCTGCTATTAATACACTGCTCTAAATTTTACACCAATTTTAATACCTTATTTTATGTTTACAGCTGTTGGAAAGATATCTATTAATTTTTCAATAGCTAGCACCTCCTTCTATGGTCTTGGAATTTTGCATGTATTAATTCAAATTTAGTCAAAGACAAATACCAATGTGATTTTGATGCAAGGTACATCGCATGTAACATTATGTGGCCGTTTTGGGAAGTAAATTTTTTCACCTTAGATGCACAGAGGACATATGTATATGTAAAAAAAAAAATGTTTTTGCCTATTCACTAGATCATAATCTCTACAATTAATTAAATTACGGTCAGTAACTGCCAGCTACATAAATCAGAATGCAGAAATGACATCTTTTTATTACAAGCACATAAATGCAACTCCTCAACAGAATTTATCAAAACAGTTTCTCAAAAAAAGTTGAACTCCATGTTTCAACATGTGGAGGGAAAAAATCAAGCTTTTGGCTTAAAAGCTGCCAAAAGGAAATCGTCCAGATTCAAAATCATTAGTTTCAGAGAGATGGAAGGGGGGAAAATGAGGAGAATTATAAAAGAAAAACAAAAGAATAAACAGAAATTTCACAGTAGCAACTTGTTCACAGTATTATTCATTTAATGGCACATCCTGATTACCTGCACTGCCACTAAAAAGTAGCGAACTCACTGGTGAGTTTGGAAAGCATTCACAAACTGACTGCTGACTTGAGACAGAAGTCTTTGTTTGGGTGTCTTTATTTCAACAATGCATCCAGTACTGCCTATTTTTCCAGTCAAGACACAAATACTCTTTTTTCTGCTGTTGCTTTGCTCATGCACATAGCGATATGCTTTCGCTAAGAAATACATCATACAATTGCATAAACTCAGCATCAAACACAATTTCGGTACCACAATCTTAAAGTGAGAAGGAACAAAAGATTTGCATGATTCCTTTAAGTGATCCATATTATAGTCTGTGTGCAGAAAGTTAAATATGAGGTTTGTGTTGTTGTAATGACTTATTTCACTTGTCTGACAGTAACATGTCATTATATGTTTAAGTGTTTATTCTTCCCCTCCCTCCAGTTCGTTTTTGTTTTGTCAGGTTGGCCTCTAAATGCTTCATAGCTGAACTATTGGCTGGGGAAGCTGGGGGCTTCGCCATTGTAGTAACATAATAACTATACAAACATCCACACCTTCTCTGGAATTCAAACCCAGGC